ATATATATATATATATATATATATATATGGAAGATGATTTTTGCAGATGTATGTTTCTTATTGTGGAAAAATAAAAGTTCTTCCTATATCATTTATTATCCAGTTTACCATTGTAAGGTGCTTGAAAAGTGACTGGAATTCTTTACATTTTGTGATGTAGATGAGGTGTTTCACCTCTCATCCCAGAAGTTTCTTCAAGTTTAAAACCAAATGTGGAGAGGCCCAGGTATGTAATCCATAGTGGGGATTGTCCTTTAATCCACTGTTGATCATTTGCCTCGTCACATGAGCCACAACGTGTGAACAGTGTGGGTCATTATCACCAGAGGGTTTGGGTGAAACCACTGTGACACCCCATCTTGTGACAAATTGAAATGACCTGCCTCATCATGTTATGACCCACTGAGATCACCTGACACAAGATGTGAGTGGGGTTTGATGCACCTTGGAAGGGATATGAAAACTGCATTGTAGATGGCAGACAGCGGGTGGTAAGCCCGACCCTCTGTTCAAAGATGGTCTTTCACAGTGGACATAGATGCTTCGTTCAAACCATCTGTCTTCTCTGTCCAACATGTGCACACTGGCATTCTCAAAGAGTGACCTTTGACTTTTAGATGCAGCTGAGTCTTTGTCTGTCAAGGTGGTTCTTCTGTGTTGTGCATTTATGAAGGGGCTGTTTGGTGTCTCCAGTGTAGAGGTCTGAGCTCTCCTTGCGGTCTGAGCTCTCCTTGCTGTACAGCGACACTGTACAGCGACACTCAGATACAAACTTAACATTGTTTAGTTTGTATCTGAGTGTGTGGTTGGGTCTGAAGGACACTAGGATGTCATGGTGGGGAAGACTCTCTCGAGTTTTTCTGATAAACCCGCTACACGAGGGATGATGATGATGATCTGTTTGTCTTTCTGATTCTCCCTCGTTGGTGTCTGACCTTCTTTAATGATTTGATGGAGGCTCATCAAACGACATGTTTCAAGGGCTTCCTTTACGCTGTGTTCCTTTTCTTTCCCTTCTGCCTTAAAGGAAACGTTTTTTGCCCAGTCTTGAAGGGTCCTGATTACTCAGTCCTAATTAAACTTCTTTATAAACCTTAAAGAAGTCCAGTTGGTTTCAAGCTCCTTAGATTACCATCACCTGGATGACTGAGAACCTACACAGACATCCAGTTTACCAGAAGTATACCATATCTAAGCCCATATGAGGCCTGTGTGCTTAAGAAAAGATCTGGAGAGTTTTCTATTGCGGTTTAGATGAGTTTACAGGAAACAACATGGTCTCGTTTTAAGGTTTGATGCTTCCTACCTCTTGATGCTTTCTTCCTGCCGTCTTTTTTTCTGGTGTTTTTCATGCAGGTAGGTCCAATTGGTCTGGTTGCGAATGCGGTCGCTCTCTCTAGCAATGTCGGAGGCGTTTTGGATCACCAGACCATCGTATATTCGAAGTCCACTGTCCTCCACGTATTGGAAAAACCTCCTGAATGAGGATCCCTCCTCCTGTGATGTCATGACTCCCTAATGACCTGAGAGGAAGAGCAGAGAAAATCAGTTCACAGTGTTTGTTCCTGTTGGCAGTGCAGATCATGTTTGAATGGTGCAGGGCCACCCGTTAGATCAAAGGTCAGTCATCATTCTGAGTGTAAGCCAAAGATTCTTAGTATAACTCATGAATTCCACCTTAAGACTGGTTAGAAGCTGGAAAGCAGCAACGCTGGCTCGTGTAACATCTGCTCACATCTTGTTCAGTTCAACCAGGAAGCCTCAGAGCAGAAGCAAGACAGTTCAGGTGATGTTAGCCTGCCCACAAAAAAACAACACATTTCTGGATTATTGTGACTGATTTCTGTTTTAGTCATCTCTGTTCTGCACAGCTAGGTCTTTGGATTCCCACCTGTGAACGTCCTGACACCGGGGAATGAGGTGTCGTGCACAAACAATAAAATAAACAGCTGTTTATTCGTAACAAAGAATTGTTTTTTGCTATTTTATTAATGTATACATTTTTCCTTGAACTTATTCCTTGTTGATCTCTGCCTTGACATGCAACAGTATTTGCGATTAGTGATTATATTAGTGACGTTGACCATGTGGGTAGGTTGTGTGGGTAAGCGGCAACACACTGGGATTAATAAAGCTATGTGGATCTGAACAGCAGCAGCATCATTAGCAGTGACTTTTAGCTCTAATCGTTCAGATCAGACATCAGTGTTTTTTATTTTCAATTACAGAGTGAGAGTTCACTGTCGACAAACACGTGTTCTCGTCTCTGCTTCATCAAGTACTCCAGGATACATTTCATTTCAACCAGCCAAGGTTTTATATCATCTTTGAAATGTAATTATTTTGTTCTTCTACTTAAAACCTGTCAGTTTTTAGCACGTTTGATTTGATATTCACTTTTATTCTTGTGTAATTAGTGCCATTGACCTGTTAGCATATTCAGTACTTTGTTAATGGTCTTATATTTGTCATGATCCTGGGTCATTTTGACCCAGCGTTTTGTGTTTCCTTTTGGTATCACCTTGTGTTTTGTGTTAATTCTGATTTTGTATTAGTTCTTAGGTTTAGTAACTCAGTGTTTAGTGCTCCAGTGTTTATCAGCCCTACCTGTGTCTTCCCTCTGTGCTCTGTTCGTGTCCCCGAGTTTGTGTTGTAAAACAGTCTGTGCGTTTCCTGTTTTACTTTGAAGGTTTGTGTCTCGTTGTGTCTAATTAGGTTCAGCTGTGCCCCCCTCCTGTGTGTCATTCCCTCATTACCTTGTGTGTATTTATGGTGTGTCTCTGCCTGTGTTCCTCGTCGTGTTGTCTGCATTACTCTGTGTAACTCAGTGTTAATCAGCGTTTCCCTGCCCTGCTTTCTCCGTGTCATTTCCGTGTGTCTTCCGGTGTCCTTAGGTCCCCAGCCGTGACAATATTATTCATGTTTTAACCTGCTGTTTTATTGTGAAGCACTTTGGTATACCGTTGGTTTTAAATGAGCTATATAAATAAATTTGTATTGTATTGTATTGGATGAATTTATTAAAGTAATCATCTGAATATGAGGAACATGGCTCACTTTTATTCATCTTTATCATGAAGGCTTCATGTTTGTTTCTCTGACTTTTAAATAAATTACTGCTTTGAATTCATCTCGCCATATTGATCCCCTCCCCCACCTCTCTGTTTCTCAGCATCCATCTAAAAATGGAACAGGGAGTCAGCTGGCAGTAACCTAGCAACAGCAGCATCTCTCACAGGAGAATGATGTAATGCATCCTGTAAGCGGGTGAGAGAGGAGACACGAGGAGAGGATGAGGGGAAAGATTCAGATTTGCTACTCAGGGTCTCCCGTTTAGGATCTGTCAAGGTGGAGCTGCTTCACGCTCTGAGTTGTAGCAGCCTCCTGAGAGGTTTACTGACTACTCAGTCCTTTACAGCACCACCCACATTAACACATACAGCTTCATTACAGATTCTGACCCACCACACACTCCTTCTGGCTCACAGGTTAACGTAACCAGCATGTGTTTGTTGGAGGAAACAGGAATACCATACTCCTCACAGCAGGAAGCTCAAAACAGGAACTTTCCTGCTGTCAGGTGGTAGTGAAGTCATGTTACCTACAGTACAACAGGCACTGTTCAGCACTGAGTGTTTTCAGTTGATAACGGTGCTGCTCCACCTATTTATTTCTGTGGGAACACCACCCTGAAGGTTGAGTTTATTCCAGTTTTTTATTTTATAGCCTCTATCCACTAATTCTGTCTAAAGCACCCATCCATCCATCCATCCATCCATCTGTCCATCCATTAACATATATGTATCCATCCATCCACGCATTATCCTTAACTCCTTAGCCTACTTTGGAACATGTGGGGTGGTGCCTATTCCAGTATGGGTGGGATACACCTGGACAGGTCAGTAGTCCATCACAGGTGAAGCACAGCGATGTATCCACAACAGAATAACTGCTTAATGAGCAACTCTCTGATAGTGGGAGAAAACAGGGGCAAGAATATGATAAGTATGTCTTTGGCTGTATCTCTTTGACTTAGGCATGAACCTTCCCACACACACACACACACACACACACACACACGTTTTACACAGAATCACTTCCAATCTGAACTTTGACCTTGTCTTCTTAGGTGTGTTCACCTTTGTTTTTACACTGTTTACTCATGACTGACAGACATCCCCTTCAAAATAAAAGCAAATTAAATGAAGTTTTCCCTTACTCTAACCCCAACATGGCAGCCATATTGAAGTGAAATGCTGCCGTGTCAGGTTTCACTGAAAGGCGAGAAGGATGTGAAGAAACTGGATATTTTGAACACTGTCAGTGGGAACAGCAGCAGCTCGGAGACAAGCAGAAACACCGAAGAGATGAAGGAAGATGACACTGAAGCTGAATGAGGAGCCTTACCTGATGACCAGCAAGGACTCAGACTCCCTCTTCCTCCCACTCTCCCTCCTTCCCTGATTCGATCCTATTTCCTTCCCTGCTTCCTATTATTTTTTCCTTGTTTCAGTCCTCCTTTCTTTCCCCCTTTTGGTCCTCGACTCCTTCCTTCCCTCCTTCAGTCCTCCCTCTGCAGGAACAAAGATGGAGTGATGAGGCTTCTGTTGTCCTCTCAGATCTCTGCAGCTCAGAGGAAATGACAGATTTTTTTGTCTGCAGCGACGTTAATCCAGATCCACCCTTCAATGCCACCTTCCTCCCCCGTCCTTCCTTTCCTTCCTCTTCGCCTTTCTTCATTCATATATCCTTACAGTTGCAATAACCACCACTCAAATGCACACACACACACACAGTCACACTCACACACCCTTCACCCTCACACACACACATCCCTGACGATGGTCGCCACAAGAAACGAGAGGCTGAAACCACGGCAACCTGACAGCATCCTTACTCTGCTGGCTCCTCCCCCTATTGCTGAAGGGTGGGTGGGGGTGGGGGGTAAGGAGGGTGAAGAAGAATGATGAGAGAGAGAGCAGCGTGTTTTTATGTGTAAATGTGTGTGTTTGTGTGTGTGTGTGAGAGAGAGATAGATGATATCACACAATACTTTATCACAATTGTGTGATGTCACAGCTCCCACATTTACTGACACCTTTCACTGGGAGCAGGAAGTGTCCACAAAATAGTATAAAACACAAAATAAAAGCCCATAACAGGAGATACTAATCAAACAAACAAAAACCAGAAAGGCAGCACTTAAGGCTTGGCTCCATTTTTCAGACTGCTTTGTTCTACATGAACCCCTCCATCATCACCCAAAGGTTCAAAACAAATAAAACTTGTGTCTTTATATATCATGTACCACCTTCTCACTACTAGAACCAGAACCTCTTCATTCAGTGTTCAGTGTCTGCTGAGTCTGTTTTCCTCCACATCTGAAACATGACTTTAAGTGTGCAAACATCACCTCAGAGAGAGTCAGGTGTAAGGAAATCAGGAGCCACTGTGTTTGTTGCTGTCACGTTCATGAAATATTACAACAGGACAGAAAAAAGCACCGAACAAAAGAAACAGAATAGATCCTCTTGCATTTCCTGGCTCCTTATTTCCTTCTTATTCCTCTTTTTCAGGTGGCTTCCTCCTTCTTTCTGTGTGTCACATCAGCATGACATCATCCTGCTTTTGCCCAATTACTTGCCACTGCAATTGTCACATGATTATATAATGTTGGTTTGACATGAATTTATTTCTGAGCAGCTTATTTTTTTCTTTCAGGGCTTATTTTTATTGTTTTATACAAAAATTACAGTGAAAGGGCTTATCAGGCATATTTTTTATTGACAAAAACACTGAATATCCTCGTCCTTCAGAGACTGACTGGTGACTTAACATTATATTAACCCATATCACACGATAGTAGGGTTATGGTTAGATTGGTGATAACTTTTGGGGATGTAAGAGTTAACTGATTA